GTTGCAGTGATATGCTTTTAATATGCATCCATATTGTACTACTTTATTTAGACTATTCTGTTTTGTTCATGAGCCACTTTGAACACAGATGCATTTTTTTAGAAAATGCGTATTTGTGTGAAACCCAGTATATAATTAAGTTGACTATGACTTAGTCACCATCCCTGTCTAGAAATTTGTTTTATGCATAGTAGCTGAAATCACCAATACTGAAATTCTTAGCTAACTTAGCAAAGGGGCAGAAGAAAGCAGAGACACAATCACTTGTTAGTTTAACTGATGTGTGTGCATGTGCTGATACACCAGCAGTTTTAGAGCTTGGTTAAAAAAGCAGATCCTGAGGTTTGGTTCCAGCGCAGAATGTGAAAAAAGCCTGGTCCTGGTGAACTATTTTTGCCTGGCGGTCACCAGCGTGTTTCAAGATCTTCTGAGGAGTAGACTGAAGGCAAGAGTGACAGAGATGACATGGGAAAGTACTGTAGCTGACGTCTTTGATAGTGACATCAGACTCCTGGATGGTCTCCAGCAGGGTCTGGCCCTACCCCAGTGATAACAACTTGTAATCTTTTGGCTTGCCAGAAAATGTTATGCGACATTTTCACAGCCACATTTCCAGATGTTCAGACTCCCTTGCTTGTACGAAAGCAGCATGCCTTACTTTTACCAGAAGCCTGGCTTAGAAGCCAGCTCAGCTCGTAGTCGTTGTCAATGGAAGACTCCTCACGTGAGGTCATCCATTTTGTGTTCCCAGGCCTCTTGTGCTAAACATTGCCCACATTTTGCACTAAAGGCTGTTTTCTTTATTTATAGCAACGGAAAAGCTTAACAAAAGCCTCCTGGGAAAAGTTTGCCAAACCAAAACTAAATGCTGTATTGAGACACCTTGAACAGAACTGGGATCAGGCTAGAGGGTGCTCAACTGTTTTATAGTGATCCTGATGTAAATGGTACTTGGAGGTGTTTTGGATTTATTATGAAAAATGGGTGTGGGTGCAAGAAAAAAATAACGGTATAAAAAAGAATTCCCTGGATGCCAAGATCCAGGTTTGGATAGAAAAACTCCAGCAGAGATTTAAAAAGGGGGAAAGGAGACAAGAGTGTACAGTGGTACCTCTGGTTATGTACTTAATATGTTCTGGAGGTCCGTTCTTAACCTGAAACTGTTCTTAACCTGAAGCACCACTTTAGCTAATGGGGCCTGTAGCGTATGTAACCCAAGGTACCACTGTAATTTAAAAGTGGTTTCATTCTCTACTCCCAAGCTGTTTGTGCCTCACCATAATATTTCTCCATGCCAGTCTAGAAGGAAGCACTCACTTAGGAAAAAATGTTCTGGCTTATTATAACTTTGTTTAACATTAAAGCTAAACATTTACACTAAGCAGAGTGCAACTACAAATGCATTCTTTTATTATTGCCATTCAAAAAAAAAAAATGTTCCCATGTTCCAAGAGAAAGACAATATAATCGTAACCAATTCCACTTTCTAACTCTGTATACAGCAAAGATGATTTTTAAAAGTTTATCTGCAAGTTCAACATCTACATTCACCTTATACATTTTCCAGGTAGAAGAATGGAGATGTATCACATGTCAGAGACACTCAAGGTCCAATTTTTAAAAGAAATATCCCCCTAGGGTATTCTTGGCTTTTTCTTTAAAAATTCATTCTCTGAAGTATCAGATTTCTAGAGCGAGAGCTGAAGCACTGAACAAAACATTTGATACAAGCTAAACAAAGGATTTTATTTCACTATCTTTGCTCTCAGATAGATTCCTATGTTCATGGTTTAATAAATAGCTTATTTAACTGATCATCATTATAAGCCTAAGGAAGTGAGTTCTATAAAATATGGATGATCAGGAAACCATGGTAACTACAGTTCAGATCTGAACAGAACTTTAGTTGGGGTTGGGGGGGGCATCATTGCGTTAGAAAGAAAGAGTAAGTTATTTTAACAATTTTGTCATCTTATATTATGGTGACCAGATGAGGACAGGAGCCCTATAGCTTTAATAGGTGCATAGAAGAGGGAATTTAATCAAGTGTGGGTTGTCATGCAAGCTCTGCTTGGTGAAACTCCCTCTTTTGCAAAACCATTAAAGATGTAGAAGCCCTTTCCTCCTTTGCATCTGGCCAACCTGACTCATCCAACTATGTGACAATAGTAATCTATGTTTGCTACATATCGCCTCCACAACGTGCTTTTGGGGGCAATGGTGTGTAATTGTTTCCACCCTGGTAAGTCATTCTGAATTGGGCTTCCTCTCAGGTAAGCAGGGTTAGAACTGCAGCCTTAAGGCTTCATTCTCTTTAACTGAAATCAAATAAATGAAATTTAAACATACTTCCCTTTATCGCTGTACTGTGCCTTATGACTGTAGAAACTGTGAGTGTCACTCTCCGAGGTCTTTTTCAGGATCCTTTTTTCCATTTAATAGGAATTGTTATTCTTGGGGGAACAGCCTGGCTCCAGTCTTGTAACAACTTACATTTGTCTTGATAAGCCTACTGCACCATGTTCTACTTCTCTAGTTCAGAGGTGGAGAACCTATAGCTTTCAAGATGTTGTTGGGATTCCATTTCCCAACAGCTCCAGCCAGCATGGCCAGGGGTGGGGGATGAAGGGAGCTGTAGTCCAACTACCTCTGGTTGTCCTTCATCTCTGCTTTAGATCTCCATCCCTGCTTACAGAATCAGGATTCAAAATGACCTTAACAAGTTGGAGAACTAGGCGCAAACAAAATGAATTTCAATAGGGACAAATGTCAGGTTCTACACTTAGACAGGAGAACCAGCTGCACAAATATAAAATGGGGACACCTGGCTTGCCAGCTGTACATGTGAAAAGGATCTAGAGGTGTTAGCAGACCACAAGCTTAACATGAATCAACAGTGTGATGCAGCAGCAAAAAAAAAGCTAATGCTATTCTAGGCTGCACCAACAGAAGTACAGTGACCAGATCCAGGGAAGTTTTCTCCAGCTCCAGAGACTAGGAACTTAACCAATGGCTTCAGGTTTAAGAAAGGAGATTCTGACTAAACATCAGGAAGAACTTTTTGATGGTAAGAGCTGGTCAACCGTGGAATGGACTCCCTCGGAAGGTGGTGGACTCTCCTTCCTTGGAGGTTTTTATACAGAGGTTGGATGGTCATCTGTCATGGATGCTACAGTTGAGATTCCTGTATTGCAGGGGGTTGTGCTAGATGACCCTTGGGGTTCCTTCCAACTCTATAATTCTATGAACCGTTGAGCTGGGAAAGACCTGTTTCTGTTACCATGAAAAAAAAGCTGCTGACAATTGACAGTATTGAGCTAGATGGACACAAGGTCTGACTCACTATTAGGCAGCTTCCTATGCTCACACATAATTGATGCCTGAGGCTAAAAACAAGAAGTCAGCTCTGCGGAGACACATCAAAGCACTTGATTACACACACATTCAACACAGCATTGCTAAGTGCTTTCCAGCAATCCTGCTTTCCAACTGTGAACTGTTTCCTTTTGAATGGACACTGGGTCGTGAAGAGGAAGCGACATAAAAATGGTTGTTGACAAAGAAACAGCCTATGCAATGTGTAAAAGCCAGCTGTTTCCTCCCAAGGCAGCCTATACATCTGAGCACCAAATGCCATTATTGAAGCCGGTTTCATCATTACCTAATAGGAAATACAATTTTAGATTGCAAATGATATCACTCAAGAGTTGTGACATGAGATTGAAATGTATCATTTCTTTTAGTCATTAAGCTAGGGAAGAAAAAGAGAGACAAAATAGTTGGTTTTAGTTTTCAGTTGCCGTAAAACAATGGTTTAAAAACACCAGGGCAAAAAATCTCATGTCTTGGCCAATCAATATTTCTGCAACTAACATGTGTTCATATGAGCAAAAGTTAGAAAGGTTGGGCACCAAATTTGTCTTAAGAAGTATGCACACACATTCAATGTCATTACCAAACAAAGTGTGGGGGGAAGGGATGTCCCCAAATTTTATTCAAATTTTGTTTGTAGAAAAAGAAGTTTTATTTCTCTCTGTAATAGACAGAGGTAGCCTTGGGAAGGATGATAATATTCACACGAAGAAGCAGTTCTGAGCTGGGGAACGCAGCTTGTGTTCTCTCTATGCGTCAATGTCTCCTTCAGACAGGCTTCATATTTACTGGCAGTGAGCTGAATCCGGACTAAGTCATGATTAGAACAGACCCACTGAAATATGTGGGACTTATGATAGCCAATGGGACCTAAGTAGGTCATGACTACTTTAAGTCCCATTGATTTCAATGGGCCATATCCAACACTGTAGCTCCACTGGCAGAAGGAACTTCCATGGGTACAATGGAACTTCCTATTCTTTTTCCTTTGGACCCTCCAGAGCAGTTGGGGGGGGGCATACTGGTTTAGGGAGGTGAGAAAATGAAAATCCTGCTGCACCAGAGGAACCTTGCTGGAATAGTACTGGATACAGCTCAATGTTTCTAAGCATGTCTGGATACAACCCAACATTTACACAAGCCTTTCACACATGCACAGCAAAAATGAAAGCAGCATGCATGCATAAATCTTGTGTAGGTTAACATCTCTTCTGTGTTAACTTGTTACTTTATTTTTTAAGGTATATTATTGTTTTCATTCAATGCCATAATCAGGCTGGATACACGTTCCATTCACAGAAGGACCCCTTCTGTGAATGGGAGGATTTGAGATCTGTCAGAGGCTCATAGGAAGAGAGGAGGCAATTTTCTGAAGTTCCCCCTCTTGCTGCAGCCTCCTGCACCTCCATCCTTACAGAGCAGTTTAGGGGAGATTGCCCCACTTCAGTGAGTAGGTGTGTTCCACAAAAAGAGTTCTTATAATGGATCTTTGGATCCAGTCCAATAGGCAAAAGACCTGTCTCAGAGAGATTAGAATCTAAAGTTTGACAATGGAGAGAGAAAAGAGGTAAGTGGCTATAGAACAGGCAAAGGATGAATGTGAACAAATGCAGTTAAGTTACACATACTTAGCATATGTTAGGGTTGGAGATGTCTCCTGTATCTCCTGGAATCATGGAGCTCAGTGTATAGTTTTGTTAGGTATTGCTGAATCACACTGGCAAATATTTGACCAAGTATGCTCCTCCCTGTATGGTTTCGGACATCTAAGAGAAAGTGAGAGATAAGAGCTGGCAATCAACAAGATGAAAGTAACCCTTTTGCTATGTTGACCTTGGGTGAAAAATGCCATAGACCATTTATTTTCCCCACACAGGCAAAAAAAAAAATTTAAAAATCAAGCTTTGCACATTGCAACAGTGAGCTATTTAAAACCAGACTGAATAAAGCATATGAAAAAGGCCTGAAAGGAACAATATCATAATGGCAGCTGGAATCACTTAGCCAGCACTAATGCACAGAAAGGAGGAAAAGGCATACATGTACATGCATTTGGCCTGAGGCTGTGGATGGGTTTTGATCACCCATTCTCAATACACATCTGGAAGATCAGGTTAAACATTGCAAATGAAAGCACTCTTGGATGAGTCCAGTCAGCCAATATCGATTTGATATATCAGAGAACCTGAGTCTGGGAAATCAAAGAGCATCCTCCAGAGAGTTGGAATGGGGAGGAAAGAGGATCAGAAGCCCTAATTAAGTCATTGCAGTGTTCATTAATTCATGTAGAAGCAAGGAACATTTTTCAACAGAGCACAGCAAATCTCATGTTAGTATTGCACAACCCCATTCTGACTGGCAGTAGTCTAGCAATCTGTGTAAGTACTAAATCAGAATCTTTCTGCTGCCATGGAATTTTGAAAACGAAACATTTCATTTTGCTAAAAGATCAAGTTTCTGGTCCTCATGGTTACACGGAAATATTTAAAAGATGAATACAATTCTGCACTCTTATTTTCCTAGGTCCCACTTTTTTTTTTTACCCAGACCTCAAACACTGGAATTAAAATCCAAATTATGAAAACCACTTGGTAACAACTGAAATATGCATGTAATTTAATCAAGCATTTCTATCTAATTTGCATTTATTAACAAGAGAATTTGACTTTAATATTCAAATGTTGCTGGTTTTTTTTTAAAAAAAGTATAGCATACAAGTCTAGCAGGCATCACCGACCTTTTTTGGCGAGTGGGCACCTTTGGAATTTGAGAAGGTGCCACGAACACCAGTCACAAAATGATGCCATGGGGGTATGGCATAGCACAAATGGCTGCCACATCATCCACTATTATCACTTACAGAGTAGCTCTTTGCACCTCTCCTCAAAATGGGAGGGTGGGTGTCTAATCAAGGCACCAACAAGATGTGGACATGTTTAAGGGAGTGTCTCCAATACAGGAGAAGCAGAACTAGTGCAAACAAACTGAGCAGGAAGAGCAAATAAGTCTCTGGTGTAGTGCTGATTTCTGAAGGAACATTTACTACAATCTTTTGCAGGTGTCATAGGTGGTACTGGCAGAGCACACTAGCACCCACAGGGTTTGCATTAGCAACCCCTGATCTAGATTCAGTTACTCAGTCTCTATAACTGAGGGTTGTTTGCTTGTTTTACACATGAAAAATACTTGCTTTGAAGGATCTCAAACTGTAAACATTTTAAAAGTCAGTCCAACTGAGTATTAACATGCTTACTTCCAGGTAAGTGTAGATAAGAACACAACCTGATAGCACCCAGCGTGACACAGAACTGTCTCACAGTTATACCCAGATATGTGAATATCACCCACAATACTCACTGTCTATGGCACAAACTACCAAAGAACTGAACAACTGTATGACATAATACCACCCTTTGTCCTCAATTGTTCACTTCTATGGCTGGCATTGCATCTTGTATCATAACTGCTGAATATGTTATGCATTTTAGTTCTTAGAGCAGGGAGTAGACAGGTGATAGCCACTGGCTTCAATTGTTTCAAGGAGAGATCAGCTATATTCATGGAGAATAACTCTACCAGTAGTGATTTGCCAAGACTAATAGAACCTTCAAATTTAGTGGCAGTCTACCGGGGAAGCACAATAGGAGGAGCCAGCTATGGCTTTCAGGCTGTGTGGTTAGTGGGTTTTCTGGTTAGTCAATGTGTGAAGCAGAATGCTTGGCTAGATATACTTTTAGCCTAATAATCAGAAAAGCCCTTCCCTTACACCAGCAGTTTTCAATTTAAGAGAACGTCTGCTGAAACACTGGTGGTAATACCAGCCCAATACATTTTGCTGTCTGGAGCAAAGCTGAGCTTTAAAATGAACAAGATTACAAGTAGATCCTGGTTAACTTGGCAAACTGAACCTTGTGAAAAATAATGTCATTTAAGGTTGAATTCACAAAAAGCAAGCTGCACATCTGATAGGCTACTTCCACAGGGTCCTTGGCAGAAATATGGAGAAAGATGCCAATACTAATAATGCTCTTTATATCCACTCTTGTGCATGACTTGGCTGTCAGGTAGAGGACTGACGCAAGAACTCCTGCCCTTTCGTCCTTCTCCAAGGCTGTGATTACTCCTTGCCTCATCTACTATTTCACTTCAGTTCAAAACGGATGATGACAACATGACAAAGTTTAGTGTTGAAATCTGTAGGATTAATCAAATTCCCTTGATACCTGTCAGTGAACAGTTGGAAGGGGAAAGTTATTCTCTGGTGCTCAGTTACCAGCTTGTGTTCAGTAGGCAAAGCTGGTGGGAAATTGTAGGTATGGAACACCAGCAAAATAGTATACAGCTCCAGCAAAACATTTCGCCCACATCCAAAACAGAGTTTGGAGTTCCATGAAAATATTATAGGTGGAGTGCAACATGGCATTAAGGCAATTGTTTCATCCATGAAATTATTTCTGCTTGCATCTCTTCCCCCCCCCCCCGCATGTCTCTTAAATCTGTTCTAGGGGTTCCCCCAACCCTCTGGAGGAGATTTTGGGAGGCTGTTGAGAGAGCACAGGGTTGGGAAAACATGAAAGTCCTACTGCCCATAAATCCTTGCACTGATTAGCAGAATATCACCCTATGAGAATTAACCTAAAATATATAGTCCTTACCTACTGGCAAGGATAGGATAACAGATTTACCACCCTTGGTATTATCAAATATTGGGGCCAATAGATCTGAAAGCATATATGGCCCTCAGTTAGTCCCATGTCGTAGTGACTAACATTTTCATCCTCTTTGGATCTTTTCACTGAGGTTTGTCCTGCAGTGACTATGTCCATGTCCTGGCCTGCACCGCACAGGAGCACAACCAAGCACTGCACATTGATTGAGCTGGCTCAGCTAAAGAGAAGAAACCGAGGGTTCATGTACGGTCACTGCCTTGGATCTCTAATGAGAAAGTCAAGCAACGAATTTTGCCAATAAAGCATAACAGAGAAAATGGGACACCCACCTAGGAAAAATTCAAGGTCCTTAAACAGCTATTCCAAAATGCTCTGGGAAGAAATGCCCTAACCACTGTCTTTCTGTGGGCTTGGATTTGCACCTACCAGTCTCCCCATTAACACAGGTGCACCCACAAGACTTCATCCCCATCCCAATGTTTTCCTGGACCTCTCCCCGGTACATGCAGGTGTTTCTCCATCCTGATCATTTCAGACTTTCCAAGGGTTTAAAAAAACACCTGTATTAAAAGGATGGAAGGTTCAGGGCAACACTGGAATGGGGAGGGCATCATGTGGACGTCCCTACATTAATGGGAAGATAGGAAAGTTGCAAGTCTACCTTTTGCTCCAATGTGCAAAAGCCCTCTAAGGCTCAGGTCAGGGGCAGGAGCATTCCAGAATAGCAGAACTGAATGTTTATGAGGAACTGAGGGACACCCCTGCCAAATGTGCATCCAGGTCAAAATAATAAGTTGGGTCAGACAAGCCCAGATGGCTCAAAATAACACAACATGTGCCTCCTGCTCCATGGAAAGGGCAAAAAATGGTCAGCCAATTTGACCAGAGGGCAACATTCTTGTGCATGAATAAACTGGGACTGCCATTATAGACTCAGGGCTGGAGAGGAGCTAAGCATCATCTAGTCTAGTTCATGTCTGTCCTGCACCAAACACTCCACCCAAATCCTAGCATGCTACCAATGCTCATCAAAAACAAGCAAGGATGTGGCCGAGGAACTTTGTTTGCAGCAGGATTATTTAAAACAGCCTGCAAAACTGATTTCAAATTGAGCGAGAAGAGCTCTTTAAAAACAAAACAACACCCATATACTCATCCTGTGTGCTTTTCAGACCACCTGGGAAGGTGCAGCCTGTTCCAAACAGTGTCCTTCTTATACAGTATAGGCTATGTTACACAACACTGCACCCGAGAGACACGATTGCGCCAAACTGAAATGCTTGCAAAAACCCCTATGCTCACCTTCTTCCTTGGTGGTAAAGGTGCTTCATAAAGTTCATCAGTGGGGCACAGCACACACTCAGAAACCCTATCCCACCCACTTCACTTTCCAAATCATTTCTCTGGCTCTTTGCAAACCCAAACAGCCAGCCTTGTAAAATGCTTCAAGGATGACACCCATTGCCAGGACATGCAGCCTTGCCTTGGCAAAACTGGACATTAATGGCACCCCCCTCCCATGCAAGCATTATTCAGCCCCCATCTATGTACTCACATAATGCTTGGATGGGTTTCGCCTTTTTTCCACGTCCACCACATTAGCATCCAGCACGCTGTAGGACAGCATCTTCGTCCCCAGGAAAACCAGGAAATGCAAACAGAGTCCAGATGTATCCTTGTATTATGATGAGTGTGCTTATTCTTTCAGGATGGCTCCTTGGCGCTCAAGAAGGATTTCCTAGGAAGCTGGTGCCTTCCCTTCTCTCTCTCTCCCTTTTTTTCTTTTCTTCGTTGCTGGCACCAGAAGAGAAGCAAAACTTCCCCAAGCTTCAACAGAAGGAGATGTCCTTAAGTACTGTATATGTATGTATGTATGTATGTATGTATGTATGTATGCACCAATCTTGGAGAGCCTGGTCACACCGCTCACGATCCTCCCCTTGGCCCTGGGAGAGAGGAAAGGGCAGAAATGGTCTTCGGCTACTTTCAAAAGAGCTCGGCTCTTATATTCTGGTGGGACTAAGGGGATTCCTTCTGGTCCAAGGCTGCGTTTATATGGATGGGAGGGAGTCTCTATTGAGTCCCCCCTTCCCCCTCCTAAAGGCGGATCAAGTTTTGCAGTCCCTGTACGGATCCCCGACGCGGTGTCCCGCGTGCTCGTGTGTCTATATGCCTGCCTGCCTCCTTTCCCCTCGTCCCTACACCCGAGTCGCCGCTGAGCGGTTCTCTTCGGCCCCCGCTTCGTGCCCAACAGCGGCGGATCCTTGGCAACGCTCCTTGGTGCAGCTGCTGCAGCCGCCCCGGGGGAAGGAAGGAAGGAGGAGGCAGGCAGAAGGCGGCGGGCCGGCTCGGGCAGAGGCGAGCGAGCGGCTGGGCGCGAAGCTCCCTTCCCCTGCCTTCTCGGCTTCGCCTCCTGCTGCCGCGATCTGCACTCCGCGCGGAACAAGGCGAGGGGCTGGAGGAGGAGGAGGAGGAGGGGGGCGGCCGGTCGGGAGGCAGGAGGGCTGGGCTCTGCTTGCCGCCCGCGGAGGGGAGGAGGGGGCCCGGTCTTCCCCCGGACAGGAGATCCGAAAGGGGAGTGGGCGATCACCTCTCCACGCCCAAGCCCCGAGGGGGCGCTGGGCGGCCGAGGAAGCTTGGCCCGGGCAGCTCCGCCCCCTTCAGAAATAACGACTTTGCGAGCCGCTGCGGGGTGGGGAGAAGTTCCCCGGGGACGGGCGAGAAAAGAAAGGCAGAGGAGATCTCCTCTAGAAACAGATCTCTTTAAGAAGACGGAACAACCGGCTCCCTTTGGGGACTGCTGTTCTTGGGCTGGAGGCAGGCGAGCGGAAGGGAGATTAGGGTGCAATCAAATTTACCTGGGAGTAAACCCGATTGAATTCTTTGGGGCCGACTCCTAATTAGACGTGGTTAGATTAGAAGCCCTAATAAGGGTCTGCAGTTGGGCCTGCATTGCCACTGCCCCCCCCAATCCCCACCTCCCTTGTTGCTGGCATCCAACTGTCCCAAGAGCCTCCAGGGGTGAAGTCAAAGTTAGCAGCACCGATGTGACCTCCCTGGAGTGCAAGGCTGGGCAGTGTGTGGGCAGTCCTGGGCTGTTCAGATGACAAGACAAGAACCCTGTCTCAGCCTTGCTAATGTGGTCCAAACGAAAGCAGAGCAATATGTTTGGCACCAGCTCAGCTGCAGGTGTTGCTGGAAGGAGACCTACAAGGTGCCATCCTACTGCTTTCGAAACGCCACCTTTACTTGCATGTTAATTCACCAGTGGCAGAGCGTGGGGGGTGCAGGGGGGGCCAGCCGCACCGGGCGCAACATCTGAGGGGGCGCGCGCTAATCTAGTAGAAGAGACTCGAGTGCTAAAATCCATGGGTTAGGGGGCGCAAATTATTTGCCTTGCCCCGGGTGCTGACAACCCACGCTACGCCACTGTAATTCACATTCCTAACATGGACTATTTAACTTGCTCATTGCTTGATTTGCACCCCTCTACCCCTTGTATTACTGCAGGAGGCAGTGGAAGACAGGAGTGTCTGGCGTGCTCTGGTCCATGGGGTCACGAAGAGTCGGACACAACTAAACGACTAAACAACAACAACAACCCCTTGTATAAATATGGTCTGAAGCCCCAACATCAAAAAAACTAAGATCATGGCCACTGGTCCCATCACCTCCTGGCAAATAGAAGGGGAAGAAATGGAGGCAGTGAGAGATTTTACTTTCTTGGGTTCCACGATCACTGCAGATGGTGAATAGCAGTCACGAAATTAAAAGACGCCTGCTTCTTGGGAGAAAAGCAATGACAAACCTAGACAGCATGTTAAAAGCAGAGACATCACCTTGCCAACAAAGGTCCGCATAGTTTTAACTATGCTTTTCCCAATAGTGATGTATGGAAGTGAGAGCTGGACCATAAAGAAGGCTGATTGCCGAAGAATTTATGCTTTTGAATTATGGTGCTGGAGGAGACTCTTGAGAGTCCCATGGACTGCAAGAAGATCAAACCTATCCATTTTTAAGGAAATCAGTCCTGAGTGCTCACTGGAAGGAAAGATCCCAAAGCTGAGGTTCCAATACTTTGGCCATCTCATGAGAAGAGAAGACTCCCTGGAATGTTGGGAAAGATGGAGGGCACAAGGAGAAGGGGATGAGAGAGGACGAGATGGTTGGACAGTGTTCTCAAAGCTACCAGCATGAGTTTGACCAAACTGCGGGAAGCAGTGGAAGACAGGAGTGCCTGGCGTGCTCTGGTCCATGGGGTCACGAAGAATCAGACACAACTAAACGACTAAACAACAACACCCCTTGTATAAAGCAACTAGAATCTCAATATGTATTCCTTGTGGATTTCAGATGAGGCTGCCTAACAGAATGAGACAGCCCTCTGAAAACCACAGGTAGTAATAAAGGGGATTCATGTCTAATTGCCATATACTCTTTATTCTGATATCAACCTGCTAGCTATTCAGTAACAAGCTGGCTGCAACATAGCCAAAGTAACTTTCAGTGCTGCGGTGTCTTGTAGTTGAGAACAGAAAAAAAAGGGCTACTTTAGGATTTTCATGTTTTGCTTGGTTTTTTCAGAAGGCATAGCATGTGTTAGTTCTGCACCCACACCCAAATCAATCTTATTGTCTTTATCATCGTTAGTGGCTGGTGCGCAGTGGGGCTGGTAGGGCAGAAGGTAGGGAGGCCAGCAGCAGGTGGAGCCAGAGCCAATGGAGGTAGTGATACCTAATTTCAATCTTATCCTCCTCCCTGTTGAGTTCTGCAAGGGCAACACCGAGACCAAGGAGGAGGAAGCTGACAGGCAATGCCACCCCCTAGACTAGTTGTTAAGTTAGAAGGCAGGCAGATGGGTAGGGGAGGGCTGGCTGAGGGCAGACTTAGGCTGGTGGGGCAGTGCCACATTCATCCTAATGGAACAGCTGTCACTGTAGCTCAGACGTCGATAATGAGTTGTGCTTGCAAGAGAATGAAAAAATCTCAAGCAGGGCACAATGTTACTAGGACTGAAGAGCTAAGGAATAATATGTTGTCTGCATGAAAAAAAGATGACCAACTCTTGCATATCATGCTGAGCAGGTGAAATTAACTTACAATAGCAGAAAAAGGAATTTACCGTTTTAGCTCCAAAAGGTAAAATTACCAAAATAATCAGGTGCACAAGTGTAAGATTGGTGACACTTGGCTTCACAGCAATAAGTTCAGAAAAAAGGAAGAAGGGCTTTTAGTAAGCTACTGTCTCTACATGAGCTAGCAATGCTATGCAAGTCTAGGGCATTGTTAGGGGATCTGGGGGAGCTGAGCCCTGGGTCTTTTGCACACTTCAGGTCTTCTGCCCTTTCCCTTCCCTCTGAAAGTAGACCTAAAATTACATACATGTATATAACTTAGGAAATAAAACTTTTGTGCAAATCTATGTCATGGACCTGTGCTTTGAATCCTTTTAAAGACCTAACGTCCTTGGCAACAGCTAAAAAGTTGACTACAATTTAAGCTGTGTCAACAAAAGCATGAAAAGCAATGGCACCACTCTATTCTGCTTTGGTCATACCTCATGTCAACTGTGTCCAGTCTAAGGAGGATACCAACAAACTAGGCCATGTCCAGAGAAGGGTGTCAAAGATGGTGAGGGACTTGGCATCTGAGGAGGAGAGTTTGGAGGAGATGGGCATGTTTAGCCTGGAACAAAAGACAAATAAGAGTTATGATGCTCAAGGTGCATGATTCACAGGAGCAAGCTCAACAATCATGCTAATTCTATCAGGAGCACCCAAATAATAGGTCAGTTTGCATCTATTGGGTACTGTGATGTCGAACTCCACTCCATCCACTATCAACTTTATATTTACCTTTTATGGGCACTTGGCACTTCTGTGATACATATCAGTGAGTATACTGTGTGTGCAAATAAGTAAAGTGTTCCAGTTGATGCTAATTAGACATGCCCAATGACTGCCACAGAACTCCGCTGTATTCTGGAATCTTGCCATTCATGGTTTCTGGAAGGAGTCACGCATATAGATTAAAAAATTACAATATCTTTTGGAATATACAGAAACTCAAGACTGACTTTGTGGGAGCCATTTCCCTGAGTGCAAATGTAATTTTCTTTAATTAGGTGACTTTAAACCCACTCTTCATTAAATCAATCCCAGAATGGGGGACAACATGAAAAATAAACCCTTATACTGTATAGAACATTCATGTCTCACATTGAATATAACTTATCTGTAGAAAGGACTTTATGATCTGAAAATAGAGACCATATATGTACTTTTGTAACCCAAGAAAATATTTAACATGAAATATAAACAAAGCAATAAAAAAGCAAACCACCACAACATTAAATCAAATAATGGCACGAGCAGTCCTTACTTCATGGGATGACAGCATCTTTAACATACGCTGTTGGGTGCAAGTGCATTGCAGAAAATGGCATTGCAATTAGCAATAGGGTGGAATCCCACCCTACATAGGAAATATGTAGCAAGTATCACTGCCAACAGCCGAATTACTATGGCAAATTACAAACAAGAATATACAACTAGCAACAGTGATAATCACACATAGAATAATTTCTGCGGGGAGAAAATGATTACATGGCCTATATTCAAACCCTGCATAAACAGACTTCAAGACACTGATTTTTATGTAGATGGCTCCTTTGGAATGCTTTCGGTGAAAAGCACTACAGAGAGTTGTGCAAATAAAGAGGGGGGTCATACCAACATTTTCTCCCACATTTTTCTTCAATTAGAAAAGAAATTGTGTTTGAAAGGTATCTAAGGGGAGAGAAAGCTTGTGAAATTCTTGTGGGTAGGGTGCAAGTTTTTTACCCCTATGCTTTTGAGGTGGTCAAGGGATATTTGTGATTGTCCTTTTTTTAATTCAACAAAATAATCAGTGGTCCGCACTCTACAGACTTCCCAGGTGCCCAAGCGTCAGTTCAAGCTCAGTGGAAGACACCCTCCTATGCATTCACACACACACACCCCCGATCAGGAACTGTGGACATCCAGGGAGGCTGCAATGTGTTGGATAACAGTTTACTGGAAAGAAAAACACACCTCGAGTCACCTTGCAACAATGTAACACCCTGCACTTATAAAAAGGGGACAGAAATTGCAATATGTCTAGATAAAAAGGCAGAAAATTGGAAGGCAGGTGTTAAGCACAGCACTAGTCACAAACCACTACAATATACATTAAAAAAATGTAAAGGTTGAGGGAAATGCTTTATACTAAAACTGGAGGCTGCTGCTGTCTTATGGATCACCCTGGGACATATACAATAGATTTCCACACTAGGTTTTATGTGATAGTCACAGGATGCTTAGCATAGGTGAGGTTCCTTCTCATTGGTTAGTGCATCACAATAACTCGTGTGTCAGTTGGCTCAGATAGGTGATCAGTTGATATATATTGCTATCCTTACAAAGTTATTGTGATGCTCAGTAAGATGAGCACCTCTATCCCCTTTTTCAAAGTTCCTCTAGTGTGTGGACATCTTTGCATGTGGGAGGAAGATACATTAAGGGTAACAATGCACTTTCCCCCACCAGCTTTGAAAATA